TAGTTTCTTAGCTTTATATAACGGTTAGGAATAAGATAATAGTCTAGAAATATGTATTAATGCTTCTTTTATCATTTTACAAAATATCTTTGCATATTTCCACAATGACTCTAATTTTTACAATATTTCCCCTTGACATTTCCGACATATGTCCTATATTTTGGTAAGCAACATTTCCATCAACATCGACATTTTAAACCTTGGTTATAACCAAATAGTTCTCCTGAACCCATTTGGTATAAGTTTGGTCCTCCTTAGTTGGTTCTTTCACATCTCCCAACAAGTAGCTCAGTTTTCCTCTACCCCGATGGCCATCATGGCCGATTGAGCCCATTCTAAGTAATTTGATCCATCAAACTTAATAGTTGTAATCTGAAAGGTATTCTCAGACATGTTACCAGAATTGCTAGTCCCAAAAACACCTTCCCCTTGATTCTTGAACTCCATTCTTGATCAAGAATTAATAAAAAACCCTTTTTTTAACTACTGTAATAAGAGAAACAGCACCCAAACAACTGATAACAGCCGGCCTGGGTCTTCCAATGAACAAAAAACACAGTTCTAAATGAAACAAGTTCAAATTCTAATCTAAAACCAACAACAGTTCTGAATTTTAGGGTTTTCTCTCAAAACCCTAAAGAAAACACAGGGAAAAAGCAAAGATTTTTCAGCCGCACCTCTCAAAATAAACCAAGATGATCTTTTCTAAAGTCAATCTCAAGAAAAAAGGCTTACTTTATGAAAAAATCTCTGGCCACCAACTTCTAGCTGATGCAAAACCCTAATCTTGAGGATCCAAAGCTTCTTCTGATTCTTCCTGATCACTGGAACTCTCCTAGGCTTCTACAATCTCCTTAGTAGCAGCCGCGCACTACCAATAACCTCCAAGAATCAGCCGATCCACCTTCTCTGTTGAAAAACTTCCAAACCTAAGAGGTTCTCATGTAGTCGGCCTAATTAGACTACCATAAGAGCTCATAGGTTGGCTCTGATACCAAGTAGTCGATCAAGACCACAATCTGTCTTGAATTTAAAAAGAAACAGATGCAAAATTTGAAGAGAAGAAGAGAGGAGAAGAAGAGAAGAAGCACACAAAGAGAATTTCAGAAAAGAGAGAGGGAAGGTCATAACATCTGCCGACCCACTCTTAAGATTTATATAAATGTTGACTAATTGTAAAAGGGCTGAATTGCCCGTATTGCTTACATGGCAAAAAGAATAAAAGAAAACTAATAATAAAACTGAAATAACTACCAACTAACACTATCATAACTAACTGAAATAATGCTGCCATACGAACACAGTGGGGACCACATCAGTGGGTTCCACATCAGTGTTCTCTAAACTATATATACTAATAAAGGCTCCGCTAGCTTGATTTTTTGGCCCTCACTCTCTTCTCTTCTTTTCTCCTTTCTTCTCCCCTCTCCTCTTACCCTCTCTTCCTCTCTGTTTTCCCTTCTTTATTGTTGATAATAGATATCTAATACTTTGTCTTAGCTAAAACCCAAGTCCAGTAAAATCTTAAGTTATCTAAGTCGTGGCAAACTAATATTCTTGTTCAAGCAACCAACATTAAGGTTTCAAATTGGTCCTTTAAATTACATTCCAATGCATTTGACTAATCGAGGTAATCAAGTATTTTTATTTCTAAATTTGAAAACTTAGTGTACCAGAATATAATTTTTGTTGCTCCACACTTTCCGCAAAATCACAAGGTCAAACAAACAGGATATATCCTCCATGATATTGGTTTGCTACACTGCTATCTTACATAATTCTAAAACATGTCAAGGAAAAATGAAGTGTTCACTAAATGCAACTTCCAAGAATCTCTCTTTTTTTAGATCACAAAATTACTATTCTTTAAAATCAGAAACTTATTCTGAAATAGTGAAATTTCATATTTCATCATGAGTAAATGGAAAACGTGATTATGATTTATAACTACATAATTTGTGCAACCTAACTATCCCTAATAACCCATTATACATTTTTATAGGTGACTTAAATTTCATTAATTAAGATGAATATTAAATATATACAGATGCACAACTCCAGCCCCCATGGGCTGACCACACAGCAACCCTGTTTCAATTCCTCTGTACAAAACTAATTGTATGCATCTCTTTTCCTTGTCTGTACAGCATCAGAAGACTCCCCAAAAACGACGATTTCTATTGACCCAATCCCTTTCTCAAGAAATCAGAAAAACCAATTGCTGATCTCAGACCCATGAATAAATTGTTCCATAGTGGTCAGGTCCTTTGCTATCTCTTTGCATCCAACCCACTACAACCTTTGAGTCCCCCCCCCATTCATGATCAAGGTTGTGATGTTAAACAGCCTTGTTTAACCTTACCTTACCCCTTGTCAATGTTATTATTCCCCTTGTATAGTGACCCATCATTGGGTGTTTAATTATAGACTGTATCACATATCACATTGTAGCAATGTGATTATGACCATGAGGAAAATCTATCCTATAAAGAAAGAAACAGAAAATCTATAATCATTCAATGCTTAAGAATGGAATGGAATGTAATACAGCTAAAAGGTAAATATATAAATGGAGATGTAATACTGAAAAAACAAAATAATTTCCTATAGAAGAAGTTTGGAGCTGATAGGTGCCACAAAAAATTAGGGCATGTTGTTGAGAGGTGTACCATGGGAAAATGAAAAAAACAACACTTGTAATATCCTTTTGAGGAGAAGATCAAATTGGTGCTTATCTCCACGTTAGTGTTTTTTTGCAATGCAAGAAGAGAATCTATTTACAACTTACTAATCTCCTCTCTACTTGTGTCTAGCTTTTGGGAGTGGGTTTCTTCTCTTTCAGGTTGTAGGTGGACCCCTTCTTTGGACATGGAAATTTGTTTCAACCCTCCTCTTTTACGTTTCCAAGGAAGAGAGGAAGGATTATGTGGAGATGTATATGGACAGCAAGGACTTAAGACAATGTAGGATGAGAGGAATGAAAGGATATTCAAGGAGAAAGTGTGCAGCAAGGAAGCAACCATGGAAAGCAATCCAGTCAAAGTAGTGCAGTGGGTTAAAACAACAAACATTTTTAAAAATTTTCATGGATAACATCTTTAGAGAATAGACAAATGTAGTGTGGTCATCAACAAGAAGGGCAGTTTCAGCTGTTTGGAGGACACTAGGTGCTATCCAAATTAAACTAAACTTTGATGGATGGGCAACCCAGGACCATCAGGTATAGGAGTATTTAGGGACCAACGTGGTATATACTAGCCATATAGTCAGAACTGGTAGGCTTTGGGGATTCTATATAGGTTAAGAGTTGGAACTTGGAAGATCACTAAACTACAGGAAAATAGTGGAAGAAGTGGAACAAAGCTGGTTGTGGGATGGATGAAACACAACAAGCAAGGGTCTTGGCAAAGTGGAGACATTATAAAGAAGCAAAGATATTTTGGCTAGGGAGATGTGGACCACTTTCACTTGGGTCTATGCTAGGTCAGCAAATGGCTTGGCTGATGTGATGGCCATACAAGGGGCAAACAGGGATCACTTCTTTGGGACCAAACTTAATGTAATATGTAACTAGTCAGGTTAGGTGGCTACCTGCCAGCCTAAATTGGGTTGGCTCTGGCTGTTTTGTACATAATTCATTCCTTTACTCAATTAATAAAATGTTCTTTATTGTTACTGATAAAAACAACTCAGACCGCATATTGGTGATCAAATAATTCAGACCTTGAAATATCGGAAAAAAGGGGTTGCGACAATCTCTTTTAACAGGGGATGTAACACTTCCTTATTAACAGTGTCGACAGTCTCATAGTCACAGCAACAATCCTCCACAATGCCAGTGTACTTCCGTGAATCCTGCACACAAGTTCCATGGGAGGAATAAAACCCATTAGAAGAACAATAGACTGACAAGTCTGAATTGATCAAAGATAAATCCAAATTCACATCCACAAATTATTTCATTAGAAGTACCGTATCAGAGTCAGTATATCAATACCTTCACTTGGACACTACTGTTGTTCTAAGAGAGATGACAAAAAGAATAATAGACTAATAACACAAGTTCCACATTCTCAAACCAGCAGATAATCAATGTTCTGAGGAAAATAAAGATCACATTACTGAATTCAGATAACTAAAATAAATATCACGTGGAAAAACACCAACAGCTCTTGTTCAAGTTTTCCACTAAATGTACAAATTTTGAAAAGAAAACAAGTAAATTCAAGAAAAAGTGTATTCAATCTATTTTTTCATCATCCACTAATCCACAATGACTCTAAAAATGTTCAAAAGAAAATTAAAAAGAAATCACGAGCAATTAAGGAAAGCAAACAAAATTCCAAGTTCAATGAATATAGAGAATCGTCCTCAAAATTTATCAGATTCATGCCAGGGGTAGGTGAACATTTAGATATTTGAAGGATAATACAATGAGGAAAAAGATCCCTTTGTCTGGAGTTTCATATCCTTTTGATCTGGTACAGAACAAGGAATCCACAATCAAGGAATTATGAAGTGATCGGATGACAGATTATATGGGTGCCGAGGTTACACTGGAACGTCAATGACTGGTAGGCTGATTCCTTGATCAGCTTGCTGGAATCTCTCATCAGAATTCACCTTCAAATGGGCACTCAAGATTTTAGAATATGGAGGGCAACCAATTCAGGGTTCCTTGGGGCTTTGAAGAACCCGGCTCAAGCCCACTTCCCCTGGATGAAGACTTGAAAAGTCCAGGTGCCAACCAAGGTTGCTCTTTACAATGTGGCCTACCCCAATGGTTAGGATTCTGGCCATCAACAACCTAATTTCTTAAGGATTAGTATTAGATGATCGACGCGGCTTATTTGGGCAAGGTGTAGTATCATCTTTGGCTCCTCTTTGACGGTATAAAAGAAGGGTTCGGTTATGTACGTTAAGCATGTTTTGTTTTGATTTCATTCTAATCGTTTTCCTGCCTTGAAAGAATCTCTCCCTCAGCATTTCATCAATACAAATTATCACTTATTATAAAAAGAAAGAAAGAAAGAAAGAGAGAAAACAAATCGGAATTGAGAAAAAAGAAATGCAGGTCATACCACACACTTGCAATCCTTATTATTCTGCGCAAAGAGTGAGATCTTCGGAGCGCTTCTTGACGTCGCTGCAGTCGCGAGTAACACAGCAATCAGAGCTCCAACCACCCACCCCCATCTCCTTCTTCGACCATTCTCCCCAATCTCCGAGTTCGCCATTACTGATCAAAAGCCCCCACTAACCCCCTCCGTAAAACCCTAAAAATCCTCAGAAGTTTCCGGAATGCATCGGAACAGAAAAAAGGGAAGTTGCAATGAATCCTTTATCCATTAAAGAAACCTCTGCAGAAAATAAAAGTCGATAGACTTCCGCGTCAACGGGCGGTCAATGCAAAACTCAACCACGTGCTGTTAATTCTCTCTCTCTCTCTCTCTCTCTCTCTCTCTCTCTCTCTCTCTCGTGAAAAGTCAGCTACCGTCGCCGTCTGGTTTCTCTCCTTCCCAGTTCCTCCGTCAACGGGTCCAGGATTGGTATGAGACGTAAATATATCAAAAAATGAGGAGAAAAAGAAAAGGCGGTTTTAGAAAATCAAGACAAACGCCAACAATGGGATTATGGGACAAAGCCTAGCGTTGCCACGTGGCTAATTGGACGCGGTAACCGGAGAAAAACTGTGTTTGTTTAAACGTTCAATCATACCATTCCGTATCTACTTCAAACAATGGCGTGGGTAACGGGCTACGTAACCAATTAAGAAAGGAAACGTCAGTGAACTCTACACCTAACCACACTATATGTCAACGGGTCAGTGATGTGTTCATTTTTTATTGGTTAAGTGACGTTGTTTTACCATGCTTGGCACCCGATTGGTACACATACGTCACATATATTGTGGGGACATGCTCTCACGTGCCCATATGGGCTTCCCCGCAACGCAGAAGTCGGTTCTGACATGTTTATGATTGTCAGATCAGATCCGAGTTCGACCGGAACACCTAAACCGTTTTAGACGAACAGTCCGGCCATCTGGTTCGAATCGACTGAATCCAGAAAACCGTTCATGAATGCTCCGATCGTCCGGTCCAAACTGAATCTGACGACATCTATGATTGAATATTTGAATCAGAACTTCGTCACTATATTCCACGTAAGGTGGTGGAAAATAAGATGAGAGAAAAAAACGAATAAATAGTTATAAAATCTAAAATAGGCTCAATAATACTTCTGAAATTTTTCAGGATAAAACTCATTCCTTTATATTTAAATTTATTGATAAAAATGAAGGCAAATAGGATAGTTGGTTATTAATATTAAATGAGTTGAAAAGAGGTAATTTTAAGATATTCAATGCTGATGGAGGGTGATTTGACCCCACCTATGAAACGGTGACACATGGACATTGAATCAGCACGAGCGACAGCTCAGCGTCGCAACGTGGTACGACCAAGTGACGGGCCTGCAAAGCAGCTTGCTACGTTCTAGCTTGCGAAAGGATTTCTCCGCGACGCGAACCCCAAGCTCCTCGAGCTACCTTTGAAGAGATACTCCGAGGCAACCTTAGCTCGCGAGCTAAAGTTATTAGCTCGTCCGAGCTCCCAAGTAGACAAGTCGTTCCGAGGACCAATTCCACTGAGGGTAATCCTGGAGTGTTCCAAGCTTGCTACAAAACAGCTCGCGAATGAGTCGTACGAGCACCTTTTAGGAAGCTTCTAACTGACAGATCGTACCGGTCAGATTGCGTCATATCCCTTACTGACGGCGCAGTCCTAGTCCTTTCGGCAGTCTGCGTCCACGTCTCTCAGCAGGCAAAAGCGTGCCTGCCACTTTGGAAACGTGTCACTCACCCGGGCGAGACGTACGCCACAACGGCCACCTGCGCAGCCCTAGCAGGTAACGGTTGTGGCAAGAACCCAGTGGCGGTTATGCCCGACCTGATGTGAGTGTCCCAATAAAAGCCCTCAGGGCAGAAGAGAAACTTCTTCTAGAGACCTTTAATCTTTCAAGTATAGTGAGAACGCGCTATCTGCACTCTTAGCCTTTGTCTCCTTCTTGCTTCTCCTTCATAGTACTAACTTAAGCATCGGAGTATCCCCACCGGGTAAACCCCCCGGGGATTCTTCTTCTTCCTCATCCCAGGTGCCTTCCAGGAGCCACGTGAGTGCCAGCTAGGAGTGACCGGATCGTGCTACATCATTTGGCGCCGTCTGTGGGAAACGCTTCGAAAAGCCTTTCTCTAAACTTTCACATCTTCTTACTCTCCAAAAACTCAATGCCCATGGCTTCCTCTAGCAACATCGGACGAAGCACGGGGATGAATAACTCCACGGAACAGCCCCAGCTCCCTATTGTCTGTATCGGACAGTTCATCGTCCCCCTCTCAGCGGACGGGATCCCTAGTTTGAACGTGCCTCTTGCAGGGGCACCCGTCATTGCTCCACTCCCTACCATAGTCGGAACAACCTTCACTGAACCCTCGGTTGTGCCCCCAGCGGCCAGCCCGAACCAGCTGGAAGTGTTGGTGCAGTGCATGCGGGCCATGTAGACTCAAATGCAGCAGTTTCAGCAGTTTCAGATCTATCAACAGCATGTGCTGCACCAGGTCTCTCAGTACCAGTATCAGCAACAGTTTCCCCTGCTACCGCAACCTCAGCTTCAGCAATCCCAACTCCCTCCTCGGCACCCAGCCTCACAGCAGGTTAGGTCTCATCGTCAAGAGGAGCACCTTCCCCGCCAAGGAAAGGTCCCCTAGAACCCTCCAAGGAGCCAGGCCTCCTCTTGCAACAGGCAGGAAAGGCCGGTTACTCCAGCCTCGCCACAGGAGGTCAGGTCGGAAGGACCCCAGATCGCCAAGCCGGCATCGTCTCAGCCCTCCAAGCCCGATACCCCGTTCCTAGAGAACCGGTTCGAGATCCTGGCCGTAGGCTCCAAGCAGGAGCCCTCGGTCCGTAGCCATCACCAACGGCCTGAGTTGCTTCCTGCACACACCGTTCCAGATAGTACAGAAGTGAGCAGCACGAATGCCGAGCCCGCCAAGAAGCAGAGACGACGCCGCTGAGCTCGCCGGTCTGCCACCCACAACCTGTCCGAGCTCGGAGGCAAAGAAGAAGTATGCTCGGGTGAAGCCAAGGCCCCCATCCTTTCAGTTCAATCCCCCTATCTCCCGAGCTCCTGACAGTCCTAATGCCTAAAGATTTTAAGCTCCCCCCTCTTGACAAGTACGACGGGTCGTTCGACCTAAATGATCACGTAGATACCTTCCAATCACAGATGCACCTGGCAAGAGCCAGCGAGTCGTGCATGTACGTGGCCATCTCCACCACTTTTAGAGGAGCAGCTCGTATGTGGTACCGGAACCTGGCACCTGGGTCGATAAGAAGTTGGGCGCAGTTCGCACAAGCTTTCACGTCCCACTTCGTTACCAGCAAGCGGTGTCCGCGAACTAAAGAGAGTCTCCTCAACATAGTGCAAAGAGAGGGAGAGTCTATCCGGGGCTACATCAAGCGGTTCAACGACGCTTGTATGCAGATACTGTGCCTGGACCCCGCCGTGCGCCTTGCCACAACCAAGAAAGGCGTGACACATAAGGAGTTCAAGTGGCACATGGTCGTCAACCAACCAACGACCATAACCGAATTTCTTAAGCTCGCGGACAGGTTTATAGCCATCGAGGAAGAGATCAACCAGAACGGCGAGAGCGCGCCCAAAAAGAGGAAGAGGGAAGGGGAGCCTTCCAGCAAAGGGGACAGCCGAAAGAAAAAGGATGCAGGTCGGGGGGCCAAGCCGGGTCAGTCATTTCGAGCTCCCGCGGCGAACCGAACTGATTACACCCCATTGAATGCGAAGCAGGCCGAAATCCTGATGGCGATCAAGGACGCCCCATACGTGAAGTGGCCACCTCGTTTGAAGGGGAATCCCAATGAAAGAAAAAAGAATCTGTACTGCAGTTTTCATAGAGATCACGATCATAGTACCGAAAATTGTAAAAACCTTCGCGACGAGATTGAGAAGCTCATCCGTCGCGGGTATTTAAGAAATTTTGTACATAATAATAGTAATAGTAATAATAAAGCAGGTCGGCAAGGGGAGCACAGTAAGGATGCTCCCGAGTCCAGCAGCAGGCCGGTCGAACAGCCACAGAGGCAGCCTCCGGAAGAGAGGCCGGTTCGGGGGACCATCCACATGATAGTGGGAGGCTCGATCGTTGCGGGTTGTACTTCGACAGCGGCTCGGACGTCAGTTCGTGAGGTCGCCCGAGAAGAGCAGAACCCTCCAAAGTGGTCGAGGATAGAAGAGCCAATTTTTTTCACAAAAGATGACGCGCGAGGGGTTCACTACCCCCACGATGATGCACTTGTGATAAAGCTGAGGATCAACGACTTCGAGGTCAAACACGTACTTGTCGACTCAGGCAGTTCGGCCGACATCCTCTTTAAAGCTGCGTTCGACCAACTTCAACTGCAGAGAAGTGACCTGAAGTCTGTGGACACTCCTCTGGTGGGCTTCAGCGGAGAAGAAGCCCGGCCCCTAGGGAAAATAACAGTACCTGTGGATGTCGGCACGTAGCCTTGTGTGGTCAGATTCAAACACGACTTCCTGGTGATCGCGACCCCCTTCCCCTACAATGCCATAATCGGTCGACCAATCACCCATGTCCTATGGGTGGTGGTCTCCACCTACCATTTGGCAATGAAGTTCCCAACAGACTTCGGCGTGGGGATAGCGTGGGACGACTAGCTCGAGTCCCGCAAGTGCTACGTTGCCGCCCTGAAGGGAAAGACCAAGGTGGCCGACAACCTCGAACTGGAGCGACCTACGAAGCAAAGCGAGGAATGAGCCACACCCATGGAAGAGACAATCGCAGTCCCGACCTCAGCGGCAGACCCAGCTCGGGCGCTTCAAATCGGTGCTTCCGTCCAGGAACCTCTACGATCCGAATTGGTAAGTTTCCTACTTCAAAATTTGGACATTTTTGCATGGTCCGCAACAAAGATGCCCGGTATAGACCCTGACCTTATAATTGACAAGCTGAATACTGATCCTGTAGTTAGGCCCGTTAGATAGAAGAAACGCAACCTAGCCCTGGAGCGGTGGAAAGTGGTCGACGAGGAAGTCGAAAAGCTCCTCGCAACTGACTTCATAAGAGAAGTCCATTACCCGAGCTGGGTAGACAACCCCATCCTGGTAAAGAAGGCCAATGGCAAGTGGCGCATGTGCGTCGACTACACCGACCTAAACCGGGCCTACCCAAAAGACTGCTTCCCACTCCCTAGAATTGACTGCTTGGTGGACGCGACCTCAGGGCATGAGTTGCTAAGTTTCTTGGACGCCTATTCGGGCTATAACCAAATCAAGATGGACCCGACGGACGAAGAAAAGACTGCCTTCATCACGGAGTTTGATCTATATTGTTACAAGGTTATGCCTTTCGGGTTGAAAAACGCAGGGGCAACCTTTAAAAGGCTTGTAAATAAGTTGTTTGCACCACTAATTGGCAGAAAAGTAGAGTGCTATGTAGACGACTTGGTCGTCAAAACTCAATTCTCACATGA